TATAAATTGCAATACAAAACATTTCGGCCTTGACTGCTGTTTGCAATTTCATGTTTTATACCGGAATAAATAAAATAAAAATAAATATAATAGAACATAGTATAATAGGCCTATAATATAATATAATATAATATAACATAACATAACATAACATAACATAACATAACATAATATAATATAATATAATATAATATAATATAATATAATAAATATAATATAATATAATAATCAAACAATGAGAAGAAGATGTACAATCATTGAAGGTTGACTTGTGGAACACAAATTTATTGAAGTATAATAAAATAAAACGGATATTTTGATAGCAGTAAAGTGAGTAAACCGAGCCCATGGTGGAACACTACCGGAGCCCAGCATTTTGCCAAACGGAGTGTCTGCATGTACCCAGGGTGACAGTGATGCTGCTTTCGTTCTCGAGGCAGTACTCAATTTGAAATGATTGACTCCCGCCTTGATTACTTTTTAGAATTAATAAATAAAGAAATTAAAAATTTTGGGTGGAAGCTTCTGAAGTGCGCTGTTGTGTCAGTGCGTCGTATGAGCACCTTTCTAAATGGATACCGGCGCAAAACAAATGTTCATTGTTATTTTTATTATTAAGATCTAGCATAGGCTTAAAACAGTAAAATAAAACAGAAAAAGATGAAAACCAAGTTAAGTTAGAATCCATATTTGATAAGAAGCACATATCATCATTTTTCTATATGCACTTTATTAATAATATCTCTATACCCCCAATCACTTAATCAAAATGGGAGATGGGGTTTGGCAATGAAGATTTTAATTGGGAAGACATATGGTATAAAAAATGTACCTTGTGTAAAACACATCATAAACTTCAAACTCATGCATCGTATTCTTGCCTGTAAAAAACGGCTAAAAATCTGGAATTTATCCCCTACTGATTGTATGTGACAGATGTCATATAGAGAAATTGAGACAGATAAACATATGTTGTTTCAGTGTAGAGCAATCCAACCATCTTGGGAAAAATTCAACACAATGATTCTTGAATGCATTTCCATTGACGAAAACATAAGAAAAGTTTTTCCAAGCTGGTTTTTTATCGTAAGTTCATAAGTTCATATCGATAAATGAACTTATGTCTCTGTTTACGTTTTGTATTTACAAAGCCTGTTTAACTAAAATATCGACAAAAAGGAAAATCAAGAATCAAAAGTTATTTGGAATTTATTCAATGTTGAACTTAAGAATTTAATAACAAACGAATATTCATGTAACATAAGTAATGCTGAGAAGAAATGGGCGACTGTTAAAAACAAGCTGCTCAATCATTTACAAATATATTGAATGTTGTATATTACCATGCACCTACTTGTATGTACAGTATTCTGTGTAAATATACGACTATTAATTATTTGTATTGTCTGATTTCCTTTACTTTAAGGGCTTATTTACTTTTTTAATTTATAATAATATGGACCTCTCTTAATTAAACTTCCCCATTTGTTACGCCAACCAAATAGGGCCTATCTAAGAATTTTCTTAAATTTAAAAAAAAAATAACAACATAACAATATGTGATTTTATATAATTTTTATTTCTTAAGGTCTTATTTATTTATTTTTTTATTTGAAATACCAAACACTGTTTCATCTATACTTTTTATTTTTTTATACATGATTATTTTTAAAAATAAGTACAAATGAATGAAAATGACATTGAAAAAGAAGAATGAATAAAAGTGGGTTGCCCCACGAAAGAGAAAAAAATGAAAAAAATCTAACATAGGCTTATACATATAGTATAAAAAATGGTATTTACCAATCAGAACTGAGTAATGAAACAGGAAGTACAATACAGTAAAATTTATTTATTAGGTCCTAATATATATATTAAGCCAAACTTTTTGTGATGCAGGCATATTATTCCAAATTATTTCTTCTATTGACAGATTGGTCGACGTTTGGGAGAAGATGGTTCGATTGTTTTTACTTTCAATGATATTTCTTTCGATGTATACAGTTGTGATGATGCAGACATTTGAAGGTCTGTCGTTTAGTATTATTTAAATTGATCAACATCATAAAGGGAGTGATCCTGTAGTTCATGACTGTTTCAAAAATTGTGTCAGATTTGTCATTGTATGCAACTTATTCTTAAGTCCAACTCATACAGCGTCGTACGACGCAGCCCGTAATTCAGAGGTAAATGATAAAACGGCTTGCCATAAGCCCGACGCGATTCATCGTCGTAGAAGAGCAATAATATAAGCCGTTGTGAAATGTTTAAACATTATTTAGTATTCTACGACGCGACTGTCCTCGAAGCTGACCATCACCTCTGTGTTTACATTGATTTAACTCACATAGATCTGACGCGTCAACAAATCGCGTCGGGCCGCGTCGTGCGACGCTGTCTGAGTTGGACATTTTTTTTATCAACATTTGTTGAAAACTGGTTGCAGTAATGGGCTATAATACCGTATGCATTGAAATTGTTGACTGGAAATAGGCAGGCCTAATAACTACAGACGATAGTATAAGCCGTTTTCATCACCACAACGCATTACTAGTAGTGCTACGGCAGTAGGCTTACTACTATTCTAATACTACCTTATAATAATACTATCTATTTATTTTATTTATTTTTTTTTTTTAATTTTATGTGATGTTTATATTATTTTTCAGAGAGTTTTACTACGCCCAGGCATGGACCTTGTGATTCGAATCCTTGTGCAGGCGGTGAAACATGCTTCGAAATTATCCTTGGCTATAAATGCACTAATCAAAGAAAAAGAATCAAATCAAAAAATATTGGTAAGAGTTTGTAAAACTATATTTAGGCTATTTCATTTATTTATTCCGGTAAGCATTTACAACAACTAGTAATGAACAATAAGCAATACAGACCAATAATTAAAGTCACATTAATGCCCGGGGGGGAAACCAATAGCAAACTAAATCACTTTCGAGTGCATCTCAGCATGAATTGACAGAAATTAAATAAACACTTAACAAGAACAACAATGTTTATCGTCACAAGATGATTTTTCTTCCTTGGTTTGTGCCTCTTTCCTTTTCTCATGAATTTGTTATGATCTTGTATTATATTTTTGTACGAATTGAAAAGGAATCAAATAAATATTACTTTGAATTGAATTTGAAACAAATATGCAACGGGACATATGCACGAGCGAGAATCAGCGATCACAGCGAGCAACAATGCTTACCACGATGAGCAGGCACGATTGTCCGATGATAACGACATTAAACACACAGCATCCTTATATCTGTCTCTTATACACATCTAGATGTGTATAAGAGACAGCCTTTACTTGTTTGTTACAATTGTTGGAAGATGTGTTTTCTAAGCTGCAAAGACTGAACAAAGGTTAAGCACAGATTGAAGTTGAATGTCAGAAGGAAATTAGTAATGGTGTCCCAAATGCGGGGAAAGCGAATAAAGGTTGAATAAAAATAACTTGTTGGTTCTAGCCTTCTGATGAATAAATCTTAAGAGTTCTGGTTTTCTAACTCGAAGCTCTGGTCAAAATGATTGGTCAATAGAGAAAGCACCGTAGAAGCATTTAATAACAAACATAATATATAAACACAACAGACGGTTAAATAGTAATGGGGTATTATTAAGTTGATAAGAGCATTTCCTCATATGATATACGGGAGGGATGGTCATGGCGGACAAAGGGAAACTAAGATCTGGTGAAACTGCGTTGGATTGATTCAAGTTTGATTTGAGAGATTTGATTTTGCTGAAAGGGCAACACACAATGGAACACAATATTCCATTAAAGGCCTAGAGAGTGAGGTATACAATTTCATAAGGGTATGAGAATCAGATGAGCGTACAGTACTTTTTATAAAACCATTAAGTTTCTTGCATCCCTTTTCTATTAAATATTATAATAATACATTATAATATCTCTTTTCTATTAAAACATGATTACCATGATAGTGGCCATGACTGAGTGTTGGCAATAAACTATAAGAAATTCAGTTACAAAAAAACATACCAATAAAAGAATAAATTTATGTACTCAACAATTAACCTTTTCCGGAGTGTTTAACCAAGGTGAAACTTAACAACTGACCAATCAGAACAAGCACACATGTTCCACAACACGCGTGTTTGCGCATGTTTTAGCCAATAGCGTTATAATAAGAATAGCTCTATGGTTTTAATATACTGTTGTTGTTTTGTGGAACCTTAGCAATAATATTTAAGGGGCGGGGCTTAGGTATATTGATCACTCATGTTATGTAACGTAAAATTTCAAGAAAAAAGTATAAAATACTACGCACCACAATCCGAAAGGTCCACTGATTAATCTCAGATAAGAAAGTATGATACATACTCCAAGTATTGAAATACACGCCATCGTGTTGGGATTCAATATTTCGACATTAATTATGTCATTATCACGGTACCGGTACCAAGTATAATAGGCCTATGGAATCTTTACTTTGTTACTTATGTATATATATTATTTCACAATTCAGCCTCCTGATAACATGTTTTACATTTTTGTATATATGCATTTTTTTTAAATGAAGACCAACTATAATCAAACATTGTATATAAATTTTTACTCACGTATTTCTGTTTTTTTTTTTTTTGTTTTTTTTTTCAGATCACTCCATTTTCCATAGCTTTGGGGATATCATAGGGTAAAGCCTACTTTATTGCATAAATTGAAACATCAGATAAAAAGGACACCAGTTTGGAAGGAATACTAGCGTTGCATTAAAGAGTGAAGTATCCATTCGATGATGGTTTGATCTATTATCTAAACATACATTTAAAAACTTGAATTTGCTATGATGTTGCAAGTATTAATATTAAATAAATAAATAAATAAGGAATGATCTATTAAATATTCCTCTGATGAACCCTGTAAGGTTGTACCTCGTTATTTGTTTCTGTACTAGTAGTTAAAGATTAGTTCACAGCCCCCAACTCCCCATACTAAATTTTTATTGCAAAACTGCATAGATTGACAATCGCAAGCCCGTATACCCGTATAATCAAAAGCAACCGGCTCAGACCGTCTTAAGCCACGAATTCTCAAGAATTGTGCTAATCAGTTATCCTGTGTTTTTTCTGATATTTTTAATCTTTGTTTTAAATCCTGCTCATTTCCAGATATTTGGAAGAACTCATGTATAATTCCGGTGCCAAAAAAAGTCTTCTATAACGTGTATGAATGATTTGAGACCAGTAGCATTAACACCTGTTATCATGAAAATATGTGAAAAAAATAATTCTCAAGTCTCGAACTCCATTATTACATAAGCTCATATTAATCCTTATCAATTTGCTTATAGATCCTCTAGGAGCACATCCGATGCAATTATACTTACACTTAATAAGCTATACTCTCACCTTGATCGTTCCATGGAGGTATATACCTCCATGATCGTTCTAACCATGGCAGTCTGGCCCGAATTATGTTTTATGATTTCTCCTCCGCATTCAATACCACCCAACCGCATAATTTTAGTTGACAAAATGATTAACATGGATATACCTTTTAATTTAATCTGCTTAGTTCTTAATTTTATTACTAATCGTACCCAATATGTTAAACTCAGTAATGCTGTCAAATCAGATACTATATCTACTAACACAGGTTTTCCACAGGGAACAGTGTTTGCTTCATTTGTTTATACATTATATACATCGGACTACAGGTCTTCACATGAAAGTGTACCCGTTATTACGTTCGCTGATGATACAGAAACAATTGGTCTAATTAGAAATAATGATTTTTCTAACTATTCTAATGAAATTGAAATATTCATCAACTATTGTGATGCTAACTATTTACAGCTTAACACAATGAAAACTAAGGAAATGATTATCGATTTTCGTAAAAATAAGCCACTATTAGATCCAATTATTATTAAAGGTACCGGTACTGAAATTGAGCAGGCCAAATCATATACATATTTAGGCGTAATATTTAATAACACTCTCACATGGGATGATCATACCGATCATATGATGAAAAAGCTTAACAGCAGGATGTATTGTCTTCGTAAACTTAGGTCGTTTAATGTGTGCAGTAAAATTTTAGGTATCTTTTATAATTCTGTAATTTTAAGTGTCTGGAGCTATTATATTGTGGGTTGGGGAGGAAATGTATCTAACTGTGACAAGGAAAGAATCAATCGTCTGATCCGAAAGGTTGAGAGAGTGGCCGGTGTGTGTTGCCTGTCGGCGGACTAAGGTTACCACCTCCGGTTAGAGAAGGTGTTTCAGAGCATCATTGAAGACGTGACCCATCCCCTTTACTCTGAAATTATTGACTCAATGATTGTTCGGAGTGGTAGACTGAGGCCGCCGGCAGCGCGCACATGGCGCTATTCTTCCTCAATCGTTCCCCAAGGTGTTAAAGCTTTTAACAAAACTTTTAATTATGATAATAATGATGATGAAAATGAAAAATGATAGTAACAGTATAATAATAATAATAATAATAATAATAATAATAATAATAATAATAATAATAATAATAATAATAATAATAATAATAATAATAATAATAATAATAATAATAATAATAATAATAATAATAATAATAATGCTTTGGTGACTTATAATGTTTTAATGGTCTTTGTTTGATATCTCTTTTACATTGTAATTTTTATATTTTATTATATTTCATCATTCTTTTAATCGTTTTACTGTCAATTGTATTTTAATGCGGGAACTGAATTTCCGACTTGGAGCAATAAAGTGTATCTTATCTTATATAGGCCTATATATATATATATATATATATACATATATATATATATGTATATGTATATATATATACTATATATATATATATATATACTATATATATATATATATATATATATGTTATATTAGTGCTTAAGGTACATTAGATATAATCTTTGAGGAGTGTGAAGACAAAGTAAATAAGTACCGAATGGCGCTAATTCTAATTTAAATATTATGAATTATTATTATTATTATTATCATTATTATTATTATTAATTATTATTATAAATTGGAAGGTTAACCCTTATTAAAATATAAAACGTCACTCTATTCCTTGATCCGAGGAAAAAGGGATATATTTATGAGATTGGTAAGTGCAGAGGATTTGTAATTTATATGCCTACACGAGACGTGTAGGCCTAATACCTAATGTAGGTATTATGGGCGGGCACGTGGCTTAATAGAATGATATAAATACGAAGTATATAAGCGTGAATTTTAAAGAGTGGGACTGTAATTAACATCAATAATACAAACAAATTATGCTAATTCATTATCCATATTTGTTGATAAATGTACAGGTGTTTGGATATATTCATAAATATGTATAATCCATAAAAAAAATTAAAGGTTAGATAGTAGTATAATTAATTTTAATGTATTATATTCGGTCAAAACAAGAAAACTACTAAGATGGGGGACAGAATTTTTTTTAACGAAAAACTCATACTACTACAATCCGAGGCAGCCTTGATTACGCAGCGTGTATCATGGTAACTATGCAGCCATTTTGTTTTGTCGAGTATTTACCAATTTTCTATTCGACTGGTCGTCTTCGTTAAGCAGGATTTTACCTTGATTTTACCACTGCGCAGGTGGGCGTGGTTTAACGAAGAACGACCAGTCGAATACGGTCATTATAATGAATCTTTCCAGAGTGAACAAAGTCAACGAATCAGCTGTTCTAGAATATGGAATAGCATTTGAAAACATTCAAATTATCAAATTGTTATTGTTTTTCCACATATTCTGAATAATTTTCGGGGTGTATTTATAGATAGTTGTTTATAAGATAGTCAGTATACTATAGAGCAGTTTGTATTCTAGCACCAGCGTTGTAGCCGTCTGCCTTATTCTACTGGTAAGCGATAATTTGCTTTTCCCAGCATTAGGTGGAAAAGCCATTTTTTTTCTTTTTTCTTTTTCGTACATACTTTTTTCCCTAACTTTTTGCATTGGGTTATTCTACCCGGCACTTTGGTCACTTTCAGTGGTTGGCTCTTTTTCAAAATCTGTCGAATCGAAGCATAGACCATAATATCAATGATATGCTTAATATTTAGTGTCAATCGAAAGTGGGGTGTGGATATGAGGACCAATTAAAGGGATTATAGGGCAAATGCTGTACACCAGATATTTCCAAAATGTTCAACTGATCTGAATACAGTATAACTTTTTGTAAAGTTTAACCAAGTTACAAGGAAGACATTATTATGTGTTTATGACGATCCAGTTTAGGGTGTAAAGTTGAGGGTCATTTAAACTTCTGACGTCCCAAACCTAAATATATCAGAAACCTAATCAATGGATCAAAACGAAACCTTCTATAATAGTTTGTCATGTTCCAGTGAAGAAATGATAACATTTTTTTGACGTTCCGGTGTGGGTGTGGATTTTTTTTTTTTTTTTTTTTTTGGTCAGGTATCAACATATTTTGTTCATCTATTGATAGATCAATCGAAGTTTGGGAGAAGATGGTCCGATTGTTGTTGTTTACAATGATATTTCTTTCGATGTATACAGTCGGAATGATGCAGGCAGTTGGAGGCGGGCTTGGAGGTTAGTCGTTTGATTAAAAATTGATCGACAATCAAGGTTATGGAACGGGCAATCGTGTAGTTTTAACTCAAGAGTGAATACTTCGAAACTCGAATCATATAAACAAATTGTCATTCTGTATACTTCTATCATTTTATTAACAGTTATTAAAAACTGGTTTCAGAAAATGGCTAAACTGTATATACATTATAGATGTCGACTAAAAGTAGGCATAATAACACTTTATAAAACTACAGACGATAGAATGAGCCGTTTTAGTGTTCATTTATTACTTGACATTTCCGTGTCGGTCGCAGTTGAAACAAAAACGGGTCTTATTTGACCGGGATGTTTCCGTGGGGTTTTTTTGTTTGTTTGTTTGTTTGTTTGTTTGTTTGTTTGTTTTTTTTTTGCATAATGCCATGTCATACATTGACTCCTGTGAAAAGTAGGCCGTACTGAACTGTAAGGCCATGTAAAAAAAAAAAGTTGTTGATCGTCTCCTCCCTACTTCAAAAAAATCACCCGACCAATATTTTTTTTCCAAAACTCACAAAAATATTGTCTTTCTGCCCATCATTCAACCTCGGCTAGGCCTTGGCTTTCCTTGGGTAAATAGTTTGTCTTTCAGTTGTTTGTTCGTGTAAATTCCGCTTGATCAAACGCTATACTGGAAGATCCGGCAAAGTCAGCCACCATTTACATGAGGTCTTGCACTCCATGGAGGATTCAAACTTGGCATGTATAAATGGAGTGTTTTATTACTGATTTAAAAAATCAATCCCTCCCGACATTTTTAAAAGAAAAGGACGAGCAACAACTCTTTTTATTTCACATGGCCTAATGTTGTATTCCTTATAAACCAAAAGAGGAACAGTATATTCAAAATAAGCTAAATGTTTTAGTTTCAATCAGATTTTTCTGTACATATTTAAGGAGACTTGTCTAAAATCGCTATTCAGGTCTGATATTGTGGTCAATTGATAATTTCTTAAAATAGGAATGATAATAATAATAATAATAATAATAATAATAATGATAATAATAATAATAATAATAATAATAATAATAATAATAATAATAATAATAATAATAATAATAATAATAATAATAACAATAACGATCGGTAACCATAACGATATGATATGATTTCTACCGCTACAACTAGGCTTTATACTACCACAGGACCAATGCCATAAGGGCGGATGAGCTCCACGGAGTCAACGGCCAACCATTAATTAGTTTAAGGAATAGGAATAGTTTAGTCTCATTGTTATTGTTATTATGATTATTTTTATTTTATTTTATTGTTATTTGCTTTCTCTCAGTTGGCCTATATTATTTCTCTGTAAAGCGCATAGGGGCAATGTGCAATATTTTAAAAAAATACATAGTTTAAAAACGGGTCCACAGCACACAGTCAATAACACGTGTAAAATAGATTAACAATTAGTGGACCTAGGATTGTCCCACATTGTTAAAAATCCGGCTATGTAACTGACCACAATCACCACAACCACCACTAATACTGCTTTTTAACTTAAATTTGTTATTTCGTTTTTCATTTCATGTGAAGATGGCGTTAATGGTAACGACCGCACAGCATGTGAACCGAATCCTTGTCCACAAGGCATGGAAGTGTGTACAGAAACTGAGGATGGCCGTTATTCGTGTGGTCCACGTAAGAATTATATCTGAGAACATAAGAGTAGATGGATAAAGGAGACGGAAGATGTGTATAAGAGACAGAAAGTAGGCATAATAACACTTTATAAAACTACAGACGATAGAATGAGCCGTTTTAGTGTTCATTTATTACTTGACATTTCCGTGTCGGTCGCAGTTGAAACAAAAACGGGTCTTATTTGACCGGGATGTTTCCGTGGGGTTTTTTTGTTTGTTTGTTTGTTTGTTTGTTTGTTTGTTTGTTTTTTTTTTGCATAATGCCATGTCATACATTGACTCCTGTGAAAAGTAGGCCGTACTGAACTGTAAGGCCATGTAAAAAAAAAAAGTTGTTGATCGTCTCCTCCCTACTTCAAAAAAATCACCCGACCAATATTTTTTTTCCAAAACTCACAAAAATATTGTCTTTCTGCCCATCATTCAACCTCGGCTAGGCCTTGGCTTTCCTTGGGTAAATAGTTTGTCTTTCAGTTGTTTGTTCGTGTAAATTCCGCTTGATCAAACGCTATACTGGAAGATCCGGCAAAGTCAGCCACCATTTACATGAGGTCTTGCACTCCTTGGAGGATTCAAACTTGGCATGTATAAATGGAGTGTTTTATTACTGATTAAAAAAATCAATCCCTCCCGACATTTTTAAAAGAAAAGGACGAGCAACAACTCTTTTTATTTCACATGGCCTAATGTTGTATTCCTTATAAACCAAAAGAGGAACAGTATATTCAAAATAAGCAGAAATTTTATAGTTTCAATCAGATTTGTCTGTACATATTTAAGGAGACTTGTCTAAAATCGCTATTCAGGTCTGATATTGTGGTCAATTGATAATTTCTTAAAATAGGAATGATAATAATAACAATAATAATAATAATAATAATAATAATAATAATAATAATAATAATAATAATAACGATCGGTAACCATAACGATATGATATGATTTCTACTGCTACAACTAGGCTTTATACTACCACAGCACCAATGCCATAAGTCTCCATATTAATGTAGTCCATATTATTAAATATGCATGAAAAGAGTCAATTAGTCATAATTTATGCAAAAAATGGGTGGGTGACATGTTTTAATAGGTTCACATTATCTTGTTTTGAAACGTAAACAAAAAATGAGTCAAGTTTTTTTTAAATGGGTCCACGTTCGATTTGATTTTTTACAAATTTCAAATCGGGCCACATTATTTATTTTTTACACATATAATTTGACTTTTTAAAACATAGGACCACACAATTGTTATTTCCATTTCATTTTACTGTACACGTAAAATCTAAGTATGGTGTACCCATCTTTTAAAAGGTGGAACATTTCATGGGTGGAGAAACTAAAAAACGTGGACCCATTATAAGAAACAAAACCATTGTAAGGACGTGTTAATCGAGGGATCTTTTCACAAAATCCTTGAGTATGGTGGGTAGTGTCCGAATTTGAATATCATTCCCTTGGTACTTTTTTCAATGTAACATCTATATTTTTTTAGGTTGCAGGAGGCAGTTTTTCAGTCTTGTCTATCATTTAAAAAAATACATAGTTTAAAAACGGGTCCACAGCACACAGTCAATAACCAAGTAAAATAGATTAACAATTAGTGGACCTAGGATTGTCCCACATTGTTAAAAATCCGGCTATGAAACTGACCACAATAACCACAACCACCACTAATACTGCTTTTTAACTTAAATTTGTTATTTCGTTTTTCATTTCATGTGAAGATGGCGTTAATGGTAACGACCGCACAGCATGTGAACCGAATCCTTGTCCACAAGGCATGGAAGTGTGTACAGAAACTGAGGATGGCCGTTATTCGTGTGGTCCACGTAAGAATTATATCTGAGAACATAAGAGTAGATGGATAAAGGAGACGGACGAGAGAGAGAGAGAGAGGATGGAGAGGAGAAGGCAAAAACATAAAATAATATTTTGCGCCATATTGTATTTTGTCGTAGGTTGCTAGTCATCCGCTATATGGTTCTTATTTGCATTTTACTCATCGTTTTGTTCTTTTAGGCTTTGGCTTTTTCCATACAGTTGGAGATGTGGGGAAATAATTGCCATATTCCATAAACATCGCGCAGGAGAAAACCCAATGACGTGATGATATCCATTATTTAAGCATACATTTTTAAATCTAGGCTTATTTTCTAAAAAATGTTGCAAGTTCTTTGTAAAGAGATATGCCTATCTATTAAATATACCTATGATTAACCCTGTGAACGTCTACATCGTTATTATTTGCTTCTTGAATCAGCAGTCTCTACTCCATTACAACAAAACACTTTGAAACAAACTTTAAAACATTAAAGACTATATTAACATCGCTTTTTAACATTGATTTAGCAATCTAAATTGATCTTGTGATGAACCTAGCCTGGTCAGACGTCCTTCATAGGCTTAGTAGTAATAATTGCCAAAGAGAAATAATTCATTTAATATTGTTTATGAATAAATTAGTGTGATGTTGAATTTCTTATAGCACCAACAGCAAGCACAACGAACAATATTAGGCCTATAAAAATTGGTGACAAATTTGGTCACTACAAGCCTGATAATAATAATAATAATAATAATAATAATAATAATAATAATAATAATAATAATAATAATGATAAAAGAGATGCACATATATTCATAATGTACAATCTATCAATGTATATCTTTAGACATTATAATTCATAAAGCAAGGGCGGATCTAGAGAAAAAATGGGTACTGGGCCATGCGAGAGAAAGTATAGAGTGGGGATAGTGTGGTATTTGAGATTTTGTCCAATAGGCCTATTGTTAGATGCAGCATAACGCTTATCATTCTGTCAAGCGCGGTGTTGCGGGTTGGGGTGAAAAATTTTATCTTTAGCATGATGTCTTAGAAAATGTGCCTTACTTTGAAAATTGAAAGTTCAATTTTGAACACAAAACCCGCAAGATGTAGAACCACCCGGAGCAGACTGACCACGAGACGATTTTGATTATAATAGGAGGTCGACATCATCAACTGAGATGTAATCATGAAACAATAACTGGCACAAAGATCGCCGTTTGTGCAATTTAAGTCAAACAGGGTATCATTCCCTCATCAACACAAAAAAAAATAAATAAATAAAAAAAAAATAATAATAAAAATAAATGTTAAAAAATCTGTCATAGGCCTATTACAGAAGTTTTTGAGAAAATGGTAGATGCTTAAGTGCGTAGGATTTGTAATTTATTGGACTACACGAGACTTGTAATTCCGAGTGAATTTATTATGGACACGTGACTTAATAGAATGATAGGCCTATATGGAATTATACAAACTCGAATTATAATGGGACTGTAATTAACATTAATAATGTAAACAAATTATGCAGATTCATTATTCATAATCTTTGATAAAAGCACAGGTGTTTGGATATATTCATAAATATTTATAACCCATAAAAATGTTTACTTAGATAGTAGTATAATAAATTTATTTTATCCGGTCACAACAAGTATTACAATTTTAAGATTAATGACAGCTAAACAATATAATGAACGTTTTAAGAGTATCAATCAAAGTCATCAACGAATCAGCTGTAGAATGTGGAATAGCATTTGAAAGCATATTCAAATATATCAAATTGCTATTGTTTTCCAACATATTCTGAATAATTTTAGGGGTTTGTATTCCAGCAAGTGTAGCCGTCTGCATTATAAGCTGGGAAGCAATCAATTATAATTATACTTGGTAATTTTTTTGCTTGGAGGTTTAATGTGGAAGTAATCGCTTTGGGTTTGGCTTGGTTTTAAATTTTATGATATGTTTTATGTTTAATTACAATGCATGCGATTTAAACACTGTGAAACTTCTCAATGCTAGTGACTTCCCACTAAAATAATTTAGCAGTCTGGAGGGAAAATCGTGGTACTGTCAGGTACTGGATAAATTCGAAGTCAAAAGACATAACCACCGGCAACAGCTCCACTCAATATGCAGAACGAATGTACATGGG